TCATCTGCAAACTTGCTGAGGGGGCACTCTGTGCCTTCCTCCAGGTCATGGATAAAGACATTGAACAAGCCTGGACCCAGGACTGACCCCTGGGGGACACCGCTAGCTACAGGCCTCCAACTAGACTCTGCGTTGCTGATCACAACTCTCTGAGCTCTGCCATCCATCCAGTTCTTAATCTACCTCACTGTCTACTCATCCAGCCACACTTCCGGAGCTTGCTTATGAGGATGTTGTGGAAGACAGTGTCAAAAGCCTTGCTGAAGTCCAGGGAGACAACATCCACTGCTCTGCCCTCATCTACCCAGCCAGTTGTCCCATCCTAGAAGGCTATCAGATTGGTCAAGCATGATTTCCCTTGGGTGAATCCATGCTGACTACTCCTGATCACCTTCTTGTCCTCCAGATGCTTAGTGAGGACCTTCAGGAAGAGCTGTTCCATCACCTTTCCCGGGATGGAGGTGAGGCTGACAGGCCTGGAGTTTCCTGGCTCCTCCTTCTTACCCTTTTGGAAGACTGGAATTCTGAGAGCTGCCAATCCAGCCTCCACAGAAAAAAATGGGTGGTGACTGGACTTGGGACCGGATTCTTCACCCTGGCTCCCCACACCAGGTAGAAGAGATAAAGTTACCAATAGCTGCTGAGGTCCTCCGAGATTTTTTTCTCCCTCTCCTTTCTTCACAGTACTTTATTCAGTTTGAAACCAAAGGGGAAGAGCAGGACGACTCTTGGAAAAGCACTGTGTAGGGGTCAGGCTGCAGAAGGGGAATCCAGACTCCGGTGCCCTGTATATAGCACTTTTGTGGATTCTTGGCAAGGCCTTCGCAATTCGTACAACTGTGCTCTGTGCCTCAGCTTCCCCATCTGTACCAAGAAGGAAGATCTTGTATCAAGGGTCTCTGGTTTGGAGAACACCAAGATAGAGTGTCCCGTCTAGAGGGAGCCGTGAAAAATTAATGCTTTACAAAGGTCCTTTAGGCAGAGGAGCTTTGTAAAGCTGGTTCTCAAAGCTGGGCAGACCCTTCACGGTCGGGGATAACGGGAAGGCTCTCACATCCTGCTCTACTGCAGTATGTAAGCAGTGAAGCTTGGCTGTGGGTTTAAGTCTGTTTAATGGTATCAAATAAAGTGTTAGGCTGGAAAGTACCCCTTTTTCTAGAGGAACTGATTAGCTTTCTAACTTCACACAGATGTTACAGAATCTTATGAAGACACAAGCGTGTGAACAGCTCAGACAAGGAGAAATTAAAAGATCCCTATCTGTTTGCATGCATCACATGCCAGCAAGGGCTCGTTTCAGCCAAGTACGGTAACTTCCAACACTTCCTTGGCTGCAGAGCAAGGCAAGGCAGAGATGGGCCAGAGGAGCCGAAGAGAAGGTCCATGCATCTCTCCCACAGCCTCCTCTAAGAGGACAAGGGCAGACTGAAATCTAATCCTTAGGTCTTGGTGGAATAAATTATTTAAAATCCATGAGCAGGGGCTCCACAAAGAGTTATAACCTCCCTCTCTGTCTCTGTTCTTTGAATGCATTAAAATAGCAATCAGGGCAAACAGGGGAAAGTTGCACGTTAAATTCCTCCTGTTCATTAGTCTCCAAGGTCTGGTGTAACTGTACCTTTCCACAGCATCCAGCATGCCAACAAACTGCAAATCACTGCACCAATGACCGTAACCAGCTGTGGCAAAACTACACATTTGGAGTGGCTCAAGTCTCATGTGCCAGCTTGGCCAGGCTACTGTGCTTCGGAGCTCTGCGTTTTTATCTCCTCTGTGTCCTTCAAGGCAACATCTGCTGCTGTGATCTGAGAACTTGCTCTTGCGGTTCAAAGCCTGCACCAACAGGGGCTAGGTAGAGGGAGGGCACTCCAGAATCATCAGTTCAGTGGACAAGGACTGACGGGATTTGGGTGAGCAGTCAGGAAAGAAGGGAGCGTGCATGTAGACACAGAAGGCAGAAGAAACAAATAAAAAGTAGCTTTTGGGAAGAAATGATAAGCTGAAAAACCAAATAAGCTGTTAGGCTCCACGCATTTGAGATGCAGGCTGTGGAACTCCTGTAGCTTAAGGGCTGGAGGACCAGCTCACCAGCTAAGCTTCACGGCTGTCGTAGGCAGCCCTAGGGCAGTTTAAGATGGGTCTCTGGTACAAGGACAACTGCTGCCCTCAGAAGCGATGCCCAAATGAGGCAGGCAGCTGTCTCGGTGAGAACATTTCCCTTGGCAAAGAAAAGAAACCCACTCAGGTTGCCTGAAAACAAGCTTGCTAATGGCCATTCAATAGCACTTTCGATCTGAGAGAACCCCCAAATGCCCTGACTTGCTACATGGTAAGAAGAGGATTCAAGATTGTTTGAACAGCTCAGTAGGCAGGTAGGATGAGGAGACCTTACAACACCCTGCTATTTGCAGAAGGCATTCGGGCGATCCCTACAAGCTTTGCAGCTATAAGCTTTCCATCAGCTTTGGGTAACATCGAGTCACCCTGCTTCACCTACTGATTTCAGGTACTGCGCCTATGATGGGAACCCAACAGCATGCTTCATGGACAAGCTTAGTCCCCTAGAAGCTACTGCGCCAACACGTGACATCATATGATTTACTGCTGTACTCCCCTCAGAGTTTACATCTCTTGCTCTTTTACACTGCAACGCTGATGGTGCTGAGTGAGGCTGGTGTTTCACACAGAGTTTGAAAATACGCAATGTAGCTCAGAAAAAAAGCATTTTGCAAGGCTGATCTCGTCCCGTGGAAAGCCACGGCACTGACTCTTTTTTATAAAAAGTGATGCTTTGAAAAAAACCTCACTAGGAGAAGCTAAGAAGCTTAGGGAGCATATTTCTCCCTAGTGCATTCAGGCAGTGGGAGACTAAACCAAACCTCATCGCCAATCGCCGCAACAGATTTATCAGTGTAACTGCTAACGATGCTAACACTGCAATCCCAGCAGACTTGCAAAACCCCTGCACTCTCCTGAGACACACATGGATAACTCCCAGCAAAGCTCTCAAACAGAAAAACACGGCTTAGCTCAGGAGCACATCACAGCAAAGGCCTCTGTATCTAAACCACTTTCTGCCATGCTGATGGATACGTTTTTCTTTTCATCTTGGCTCCTCTTGCAGGTAGGCACATAAGACACAAAAAATAGCCGGTCTCATGCAGTTCAAGAAGCAGCAATGCAGTGGCAGGCAACAGGCATTGCACAGACTCAGACCTGTCCTCTTTGATAACACTGGCACTACTACAATCTCTCTCCCAGCCAGACAGCAGATCTTTTCCTTCAGCTAATGCAGTTAAGGGAACGTCTAGTCAAAGGCAGGGACTGATAAAGTCCTGTGGTTCAGTGCTCTAAAGATAGGTCTCTTGAGTTTTAATTTCAGCTTCCCTTTTTGGCCATAATTAAGCCTTGTAACCTTTATGCTTGAACTTGGCAGAGGTAATACTTGT